AAAACTCCTAAGCCAGTAAGCGGTCCCATGATGGTTGATTATTCCGGGGAAGGTGGAGCTAAGTACTTCAGTGATTTTGACGCTCGCGATCTCATCCATAGAGGTAGGTACATATCGTGGCATGCAACTCTTTCGCCTAGGAATAAGAGTGACGACTTGAAAGGTAGTGAACAACTTTCATTTTTTAACTTATCACTCTTCACAAGCCTACGCACATGTTTCATATCATCACGATGTTCATGTTCGATGGTTGTTGAGGTTTATAGTCCTTACTGGTTCGGTCGGCAGTTCAGATTTTATCAAGATATACCGAAGGATTTGAGCGAAGGCATTCCGCCAGCTAGTTTGGATAACATGTTACGTCACTAGAGGATTTGTATTTTAACTCGGCCATCATATTAGGTACACCTTCCTGCACGTTCCCTAAATCTGCATAACCAGATCACTCCCCGTTATACAAAATGGTGGCTTGCAAAACATGGAGATTATCTTGAGAAAGACGTACAAGAGTTGACGAACATTGCTCTTCTGCCCCCTTCAAAACCCAAACTTCCAAAGAAAGTTGGTGATAGTAATGAAGGGAAAAGAATTCGTCTTCCAGACGTTGAGCAGTTTGTTGCTGAGGATGATGATGAGAGTCAGAACAGTAACAGTGACCATCATTGGAAGAGATCTAAGAAATCCAAGCCGCTACCAGTTTGTGACGACAGATTCTTTGATGGTATTACAAGTGCTTCAGAATTTCCTACTCCTCCTACTAAACTTCTGGTTAGTAATTCTATCACTTTCCCGTATACCATTCTTCTTTTGTTTTATGTATATACATATATATATATTTTATTTTTTTTACAGTTGTCTCTGGATAATCTTAGTCACGAGAGTATGGCACAAAACAGTCCATTATCTTTGACGAGTTTTGATATCCTTAATCCCTCCACTACTCCTGTTGGAGGTTTCAATACGCCAAATGACAAGGTTGTAGCTCCCTCAATTTTGTTGAAGGATGCTATTCCTCCTCAAAAGATGATATCTGTTGATGCTCCTGAAGTCTCCAACTTCTGTGCCGACACTGTGATTTCTGATGTTCAACGGCAACTTGCTTTACTCATGTGGGATCGCCTACATAAGAAGCTTATTTGTACTTCACTTGATAAGGCTTCTTATCTTGAGCCAGAGGCGCATCAAATTTTTCATGCCATTTCAGAGACTAAAGCGATAAACCTTGCGTCTCTCAAAGACTTTGTAGGTGACTATTTTCAAAAGGTTGCAAATTATAATAACCTACAGTCTTCAGTTTCTTCTCAGCTGACTTTAGCAAATAAAGGATCGTCAACTGGAAGAGTGCAGCTTTAGCTTGGAGAAGATATTATGTGATGAGCAGAGCGCCTTTGAGGAGAAAGACAAGGTACAACAACAGCACACGCGCATGCTACAAGAAGAGGAAGAGTTGGAAGCCAAGCTTAAAGTTTGTCAGGCTAAACGAAGTGAGATTTCTAAGTTTATTCTTGAACAAAATGAGCGTTTAGACGAGCAGAAACTTGAGGCTTCTAAGGTGCGAAGGAGGATGAACAACCTCACAAACACTCCAGTTTTTAATGATGCAGTAGTGAGATCACTCGAGGCATTTCGTGGACTTTTGGCAGATGGCAACAGGAATTGAAGGACTTCAAGTGGGCGCCACGATTTTAGATGATGTCATGATTTCTTTTGTATTCTCACTCCTTTATTATTATTTCATGTATGGACTCAGTTTACTTACTCATTTATATTATTGGCGTTATCATTTTTTTTTTTTTTACGAAGAAGAAATATTTTCATGACCAAGATGATAATAAATTGCATCATTTTTTTTCTTGGACTGAACTTAAAGTTTCCTCTAAGCTGCCTACATACCTTTTTTTATAAAAAAGATCAAGTCATAACGTAGTTCATTTACAAACAAAATTTTTTTTTTATATATTTTTTTTAGGGCCGTTCATCTTTTAAACTCATGCAGGCTAGGAGCATCATGTAGTTTAGGCTCTTAGGATAAGGAACGGTTACAATTTAAACATAGTATTTCTTTAGGAATTTTCCGTTGATTGGGCCAATTCTAAGGCCGTCTTGAACCACGATCTTGTATGCTCTATTCGTGTATACTTCTTTTACAATGTAGGGTCCATCCCATTTTGGAGTGAACTTATTCCTTGTATGTCGAGTTGTAATGATTGGTCTTCGCACTACAAGTATGAGCTCACCAACTTGAAATGATCGAGGTGTACCTTTTTGTTGAAAGCCTTAGACATGCGGGCTTGATAACATTCTAGCGCTTGTTGGGCATCCAATCTTCTTTCATCCAATGCTTCCAACTCTTGAAGACGAATGTAAAGACCCTAATTTCTGATACGTTTAACGAGGTAACAACCCTATAACGCTTACTGAACCCTTCTATTTAAGGTAACGAAAAAAATGTAATGTTCTCTAAATGCAACATACAAATGGAGGTACACAACAATGGAATATCCAGAAAATAATACCCGCCTCAGTGGTCAGGAATCCAATCAAAAGAAAATAATCGTTTTGTCTAGTAAATCAAAATACATCAGGAATTTGGATAGTAAAAATATCCATAAGGCAATAAGAGAAAGTGTCCATTGAGTTAACCCAATGTCTAATTCCCCTTTTATTTCCTAGCAATAAGATTTTAACGATGTCTACAATGTGCGACATTATTCTCTATCCTAACCAACACGGCTAGTGATCCCTCCTCAGCCAAGCCTCCTCCACGTCATTACCATGGTCGGCCATGTTCACACCTGAAACAAATAAGGTATAGGGGGGGGTGAGTACATAAAATACTCCGTAAGTAGCCCTCCGTAACTAAACACAACAGCATGCTCGAAATCACAACCACATCAAATCAATAGCAGAATACAACAGATAGGCAGCAAGGAACGATAACAGCAGATTAACCTTACCATACGAGCTTCGCTCTACCCTCCCTATGTTGGTACTCCAGGTCTAACTCTCCGAGGCGTATCGGCGCTTGACATTTATCCCCAAGACACCGACCTTCCTCTACCACGCTTGGTGCTCGACCTTGCCATTTATCCCCAAGGCCTTGAATTATTACCCATAAGCATCACTTCACGTTAGTCCCCCAAGTCTAACTCTTCGAGTTGTATTGGCCCTTGACATTTATCCCCAAGATACCAATACCTCTCTACAGAAGCTTGATGTTCGGCCTTGCCATTTATCTCCAAGGCCTTGAACTGTGCACCAGTCATTGACATTTATTTCCAAGGTACCGATGACTGTCCAGCGTATTGGTCCTTGACATTTACCCCCAACACCCCAATACTCATATACCAGAACTGAGCTACGGCCTTGCCATTTATCCCCAAGGCCTTGCTCAAGGCTTTGCGTAACCAGCGACTAATGTACAATCTCTCTTCAAGGGACCCTCAGGTTAACGAACCACTAACCCAGCACGTCACACCTGGCAATTTCCACCAATCCTTCCAAGACAATCCCATAAACACGTCCTTCACCCTTAAATTCACAGCCCAATTTACCAGCATGCTTTTCATTATACCAAACAAAATCACTAACACCACAGCTTCCAACAAAATATAACAAACAATAAAACTACATAACAGGCTTTCCGTACGTACTTCATTCACCGCACAATTTACCAGCATGCTTTTCATTATACCAAACAAAATCCCTAACACGACAGCTTCCAACAAAATATAACAAACAATAAAACTATGTAATAAGCTTTCAGCACGTACTTCATTCACAGCACAATTTACCGGCATGCTTTTCATTATACCAAAAAAATCACTAACACAACAGCTTCCAACAAAATATAACAAAACGATAAAACTATGTAACCGGCTTTTTATAACAAGTCATGCATTTTTTTATAATGTCTAACAATGAAAGTAGCAACACGGAACTCGACAAAATCGCTAGAAGCCCTCAAAACCAAGACTAACAATTCCTACATGCATGAAATAAATTATTTTAATTAAAAACCAGCGCAAGACTACTCCGTTAACATTAAATAACACACGCACTCGCCCCCTGGTGCTACTTACACACTACTACGCTCTTATATCTTGCGTCAATTCACCACCTAACCAACAATAGACAAACGAAATAATTAATACAAATTTCCAGCTGTCTAAATTCATTCTAAGAGATCTCGCAATGTCCATTACCGCAAAAATCGACTTCGTCTAGGTGCGGGTAACTCAGGCCTAACTTGAATAATCGTGGGTTGCGTATATCGAGCCTTTAATGGTTATGGGTAGGCACCGAGATCGGAAACTGCTGCTGTCCGGACTATTTTAGCAGTAAAAACCCACCAAAAACGATACCCACGACGCTGTGTGCAGCAAGAACCCGCAACACGACCCGCTGCTACCGGAATCCGCGCACCACCGCTGTTACCTAGTTACTTAATTTGGGCCCAACGAACTAGAACAATTGCAGAGAAAACAATTTCCTCGTTACACAATAATTAGATACGTAAGTACACTTCAACACTCATAACAATTACCACAGTAGCTCGAAATAAAATGAAATGAAACAATTAAATTAAATAAAAGAAATTTCTAAGAAAGGAGGCTCGAAGACTCGAGGGTAAACTAACCTGAGTAACGCGAGGCGTTACAACGAAACTGAGCATTATCCTCCACTGTTAGTCCTTCTTGTACCGCCATTCGTAGAGATGGAATTTCTCTTTCTAGAGGGAGTACGGCTTCTACTTCATATACAAGAGAATTAGGCGTAGCACCAGTCGGAATGCGATAGGTAGTTCGATACGCCCATAATGCTTCACCAATTCTTTCTTGCCGGTCTCGCTTCGACTTGGAGACCACTTTCTTCAATAAATTACATAGCGTTTTGTTAAACGCTTCTGCCAACCCATTTGCCGTAGCATTGTACATGGATGAATTATACTGCTTGAAGCCAAATTTCTCACATAATTTGCCTATTAGGTTATTGGAAAACTATTTTCCATTATCTGTGACAATGCGATGCGGGATGCCATAACGGTAGATGAGATGGGTGCGAATAAAATCAGCTACATTTTCTTTCTTAGCTTCTTTTAGTGCAACAGCCTCAGCCCATCTTGAGAAATAGTCTATTCCTGCGAGAATGTAAGAATGTCTCGCTGATGATTTGGGAGTTATAGGACCAACAAGATCAAGTCCCCAAGCTTCGAAGGGCCATGAAGCTATAGTTGGATGGAGTGGCTCCAGAGACTGATGTATGAAGTTGGTGTGAAATTGACAAGCCTCACATTTCTTTGCATATTGCATCGAGTCTTGGACCATTGTAGGCCAATAGTAGCCCATCCTTTTCAATTGGAAATAAAGCTTTGGCCCAGATTGGTGAGCCCCGCATATGTCCGAGTGGGCTTCTTCTAAGGCTTTTATCGACTCTTATTTTCTTAAGCATCGAAGGAAAAGACCTTCATACGAACGGCGATAGAGAGTTTCTTTGTAATAGATGAAACGAGCTGCTTTCCTTCGTACTTCAGTTCTATGTCGGTTATCTGTAGGGAGTTTTCCATGTTGGAGATAGTCTATAATTGATTGCCGCCAAACTTCTTCTTCAATCACATAGACAGATATTGCATTCACTTCTTCACTCTCACATTCAGTTGGTGGTATGATCAATCTTTGGCAAAATGGGATATTTAAAACTTCATCCTCCAAAATTGTTAATCTTGGATTGGTCAATCTCAATTCCTCGATGCCGTACTACAAAGCCAAGAAACTTCCCTGATGTCACACCAAAAGCACATTTGAGAGGATTCATTTTCAACTGATATTTCCTTAGGCGCTCAAAGACTATTCTCAAGTCCTGCAGATGATCTTCGCGTTTTTTCGACTTAACTACAAGATCATCAACATAGCACTCGACATGTTTATGGAGCATATCATAAAAAATCTTTTGCATAGCACGTTGGTAGGTTGCTCCGGCATTCTTTGATCCAAAAGGCATTACTTTATAATAGCATATCCCTTTTGGAGTTCGAAATGCAGTCATTTCTTCGTCCTCAAGAGCCATCCGAATTTGATTGTATCCTGACGATCCGTCCATGAAAGATAAAGCTTCATGTCATGTAGTAGCATCAACCATAATCTCGGTGATGGGTAATGGAAAGTCATCTTTCGGACATGCATTGTTCAGATCACAAAAATCGACGCATACACGAAGTTGGCCATTCTTCTTTTTCACCAGAATGATATTGGATATCCATGTTGGATATTTCACTTCACGGATGAAATCTACCTCTATTAATTTGTTGAATTCATTTTCGATTTAAGGTATAAGTTCTGGCCGAAATCGTCGTTGTGCTTGCTTTACTGGACGGTACCCTTGCTTGATTACAAGGTGATGGACTGTTATCTTTGGGTTAAGTGTGGCATTTCTTTGTAAGACCAGGCAAATATGTCTTTCTATGTGGAGAGCAAACTCATATATTCAATTTCTTCCTCGCTGGAAAGTGAAGCACTTATGAACATTGGACGCGGCTCTTCTACTGTATCGATGTTCACTTCTTTAAGTTCATCAACAGTTGATTGACTGCCGTCCTCTAGTGATGATGGTGCCTCTTCAACGTCCTCCTCTAATATTTCATCGTCTAACATTTCGTCAAAGGAGATGTGGCAACAACTAACATTGTTTTCTCCATGCTCTTGATCTTCCTCGGCTGGATTGGTTAAAAAGATTAACTGTTGCTTCACTCTTAATGGATCTTCTATGTTTATAAGAACAAAAAGCTTTTTTTTCATCCGTGAAGGGACAGAACTATGAAGTTCGTTATTATCCTTCATTCCATCGAGTTGGCTTGTTTCCAAGGACTCTGACTGAGGCTCACGTTGATTTTCTACTCTTTCGAGGTTGTCGAAAACATATCTTAACGATTGATTTTTCATTTTTGATGTCGACACACTCAGTCTTTGAAAAGCCGAAGGTCGTGTAGGAATATGTCCCAGACGTTGGCTTTCTATTTTCGTTGACCCCATGTTCAACCTTTGGTGCACCGAGATACGAACAGTTGGAACCTCAATGCGATTGAAGACTGAAATTCTTTGACTATTGGAATGTTTCTTTTCCTTGGAGTCATCTATCTCTTCAACCGTGATGTGATTGCTATTCTCCACTTTTCTTTTCCTTTTTTCACTATATACACTGGTTCTGACGGTTTGTAACCAATTCTAGCCTTTGATGTAGGTATATTGTAGCCTGACTTCAAAATCTTATTTTGTGTTGTAGAAAGTTCCCGCTTGTCATCGAAAATCCTCAAGCTTTTGAACTCAGTGTGAGTTGTGAAGTCATAGCCTGCTTTTGCCAGAAGCTTGTATGCTTTGGGATCAAAGCCATCCTTCGTTCGCGTCACGGGAAGAAACTGCTTCATACTGAGATCTTCGGACTTCTTAATCTCTTGACTTGATATCTTAGTAAGAGATTAAACATTTCTATGTCGTCAGACTTAAACATTTCTATGTCGTCAGACTTAAACATTTCTACGTAGTCAGACTTCATATTATTTGAATATTCCAAGAATGGCGATTCGCCCTTTTTTCGTCGAGATAGAGGGACATACCACAAGATGGTAGAATTCTGTGAGGCTTCTTTCTTAAAAGCTTCCGTTTTAAAGAACTAGTAGATGCTTCATTTGCGATGGCCTTGACAACATGAACTTCTTTTGCCAACTCTACTGTCTTGATCGTTGGCTGTCTCGAGCAAGAGTTGTCCTTGTTGTTCTCGGTTAAAGAACCATCCATTGGCACGTTTTTTTATTTTTGATCATTACTCGTATAAAACTTTGCATCTGCGTAGTGTGATTCTGCTTCCAAGAATGGATTAGTGTCAGCCTCAACTTTTCTAACTCCATCTTGATAGAATTTGAAGCACTGATGCAACGTCGAAGTTATCACCCCATTCTCATGAATCCAAGGATGTCCTAACAATTATTTGTAAGTAGTCTTGGAGTCTATGATGTGGAAGATGGTAGTGGCTTTAAGGTCTGCAATGATCAACTCCATCCTAATCATGCCAATCGCTCGTTGTCCACCTTGATTAAAACCTTGGATTACCAATATGCTTTTCGTGAGCTCTTCCATTGAAATGCCTAACTGCTTCATGGTTCATTTAGGAATTATGTTGACAGCCGAACCATCATCGATAAGAATCCGGCTAACTTTCTGCTGGCGAATGTAGCCCGAGACGAATAAAGGCCTATTATGGAGTTTAGACCCTAATAGCAAATCTTCATCTGTAAAGGCAATAGATATACAACATGGGGCACATGTGTTTATGGAGGATTTGGGAGTGCTAGCATCTTTCAGCGCTTCAACGAGAGTATCTTTAGCCGCTTGTGGAAGTGCTAGCAAGTCATTCATGAGATGAACTGGGAGATCCTCTTGTTCCACTACTTCTTCGGGTGCCTCTAGCACGAAGTTATAACCTTCTATCACATGTGTAGCATGACACGTGACAATAACATAACCTTCTTCTCGTTCGTTATGAAGGAAGTTCTTTCGGAAGAATTCTTCCAATGTCACCTGCTAGCGAGGTTGGAGAATATCCTTATTCTCCTCCATGACAGGCCGAAGTTTTCTCATATCTTTCTTTCCCTTCTTCTTTTTTGGCATGTTCTTTCTTTTGTAGTTTAGGAACATGCGAGACTCTTTCTGAATGAATCGTTCTTTCTGCTTCTTCCGGCGAGTCACGAGAGTCCATCCTTCTTGTTCATTGAGATTAAGCTTGCTCTCATCTTGAAGAGTGGTTCTTGGTATCACGTGTTGCCATCAAATTGCTACATGCTCTAGAGTCCCAAATTGGATCAACTTTACTTCTTGGTTGTGGACTGCATAACCATTAGAGTTTACTGCAACATGGTTTGTTTGAGCTACCTCGTCGAGGTCAAGCTCGATCTTCCTTTCTTGAGCTAACTTTAGGATCAACTCTTTCAAGACGAAACATTTTTCCACTAGATGACTAATGACCCGATGGTACTTGCAGTAATTGTGATCATTGGTCCTTCCCATCTCTTCTGGACGTTTGCATTCGGGAAGTTCAATTAGTCGTTTCTCTAGTAGCTGCTTCAACATGTCTGGAATATCTGAATCAGGAAAAGGATAGACTTTTTCCCGTCTCTCCTTCAAAGTTGAACGCCGCTTCTCGTTTCCAGCCATTTGTCTTCCATCCTTTTTGTCGTTGAAGTTTCTTCTTTTCGTAGAAAACTTAAACGGTGTAGTGTTGACGACCATGGATTTTTTCTTAGGACTCTTAGCAATTTTATCAGAGTTCTTTACTTCCTTCTTCTCTTTCTTGAAGTCTGGGACCAGATGATCTTTATTCCTTTGGCTAGCGATACTTAGTTCCATGTCGTGGGCACGAGTTACTAGTTCTTCAAAACTTCGGGGTTTTATTCCCTAGAGAATGTAGAGGAGTCCTCAATGCATGCCCTGAGTGCACATTTCTACTGCAGACACTTCAGTCAATCGGTCTTTGCAGTCGAGGCTCAGAGCTCTCCACCTATTGATGTAGTCGACAACAGCTTCATCATTCCGTTGCTTAGTGCTGGTTAGCTCCATCATGCTAACAGTTAGCCTTGTGCTGTAAAAGCAATTTAGGAATTCTCTTTCCAGATGCTCCTAGTTGCTGATAGATTCAGGCTCCAAATCAGTGTACCAATCAAAGTCATTGCCTTTCAGTGTCCTAACAAACTGCTTGACCAGTAGATCTCCTCTAGTGCCAGCATTTTCACAGGTTTCGACGAAATGAGCAATTTGTTGGAACTTGGGAGGCTGATATCCTGTTGGCAATCTCATATTGTCAATTCTCTTGGTGTACGACTTGGAGTACAGGAGGGAATTTTGAGCCGGTCCGCCATACTGAGCTCTGATCGAATTTGTGATCATATCTTGGAGCTGTTGGATGGATAGTGAAGCAATTGAGACAGAATGTTCTTGTTGTTCTTCTTGCACGATGTTCTTTCTTTTCTGACTGACTTTTGCAGCAAGATTCTGGCTGGATTCAACAACGTCTTGAACTTCGATCTTTTTCATAAGGGAAGCGATCTTGTAATCCTTTTCCTCAACCATCTTCATCAGCATGCAGAGTCTCTTCTCCATATCTGCCATTTTTTCTTCCATGGTGGATGCATCAGCCATCATGACAGAGTACATGACGTTTGGAGTAGATGTCCCCTTGTCATGTGCAGAGGAATGAGCGAATTCACTCTCCGAGCTAGAGTTGAACAGGCCATCCATCATTTCTTTGGCTCGGTTGTGAGTAATTGGGCCCAAGTAAGAGT